GCTATCAATGCCTTGACAGGAATCGGAGAGAATGCGGAGACTTTATGTACTAGGTCTGGCGACGTAGAATTTCACGAAATTTTGGAGGCTGTTTACCTTTCATTCTACGCAGGTGAACGATCCAGATGCCGCCGAGCTCCTCAAAACCTTTTCTGTGGGTTGGGCCAACGCACAGCGATTGTACGACGTCACATTGCTTTTATGTCCCTCTGTAGAATTGCCCAGCCGCTGGTTACTAGCCACCCTGCCGATCAAGAAAGGACAATAATTTCCTGGCGTCAAGATATAGCACCGTTATTCGTAAAATTGAACATAGTATTACGAAAACATCACCGGATACTATGGCATCAACGTCAGTTGGAGGCGTTGGTTACTGCAACTACCGTCCAGGTAGCTGCGCAGCCAATGAGATATCCAGTAGCATAACAGCTACGTTTGGCAGTCGATTTTCGCCGAGTAAGGTTCAGACTACGGGAGGGAAACTTTTGAACCCAGTTGGCAGGCATCAAGCGGACAAAATGACTTCGGAGTTAACAGTCCCCCAGACGATGACGGGTGCATGACGTTGACAATGCTTTAATTACACCCATTAATCGGAACCAGTACAATTTCGAACTAACTGCTCACAAAAAAAAACAAAACAAGAGTTTTGGACTCAGGTGAGTAAATAAAGAAGAGAGAAATTCTGACTAAAACAAGAGGAACCCCACGGCATTGATGAAAATGCTATGTATGTTTTACTGTGGTGAAAATAGGACAGAAAAACAAAGTGGTGTTTGTGTGTGGTGGTTTTAGCATTGGGGAGCCTGGCACAACCAAACCACTCGCTCCTGTTTTAATAAGTGAATTACAGTGTCTTTCGTAGGGTGCTCAAACGGTGCGGTACAGTTGTGTAACGACCGATGATCTCAGGGATACTATACACCGCGACAGGCTATGCCTGGTCTGAATAGAGCTGTTACCGTGTTGCAATACCCATCCATACGAAAGGGAAAAAGAATTAGGTGGGTGCAGATGTGTAATCGGACAGACGAAAGTTACAAATATACGATAGTGGTTGAACGTGCACATAGAATGACTTACAACGGAATTTTGACCTGTCTGGATGGTGAGGTGGCACTGACGTGCCTGCTAAATAATCGGTGGGAACGCAGGGCAGTGGGTAACTGCATGGGATGGCTGTCGGAGGTGCTGACGTAGATAGGCGAGCGTGGAAGTGAGTCGGCAGTTGACAGAGGGAAGTACACCGGCCATTTTCACCGACACGCAGTTACACCATCCCAGTTCAGCGCGAGGAGTGTCTTGTCATTAAAACAACTCTAAACAGTTCATGGGACGTTATAGGTAGGGTTTGGCAGCTCCAGGAGTACATCAACTGAAGTGTCCGTTCGCAATTTGTTGTCCTAGGTTGTTGTCCCGGTTATTTTAAGGATATGATTTGTCATGCCTTAATAACAATTCAGCTCGAATCGATAGAACTAGATGCCATAAGCGTAACGATAATAGGTGGAACGATGAAATATTAGCCAGTGTTTGCTATGTAAGGGGCGCAGTACGAGAATTATCTTATGTTCAAGAATCTGGTGGGATAAATCGTCGTGAAGACGATCATTGTATATGGAGCATAAAACGATATGTACAGAAAGGCAGCAGCTAGAATAACAAATCGCGGACAGGGGTTTATCAGTTAAGGCGTCCTCTGGAATAACTCGGCCCCACTCAAGTGGAGTGCAATTGATTCCCTTGGTCCTGAGTTCATTACGAAAGATATCGTAATTTACTTATTGGAGCGGAAACGAGTTATTAGGTTCTGTTTGGCCCTTACAATGTAGCGTCCATGTGATGTAGGGCTCTGCCTATGGCTCGTAACCTGTACTACAGCCTGCGTTTTGACCAACCACGTGGTCAGTTAATATATTATGTACATTTCCTGGAACAGCCACACTTGATTCGTTGTCATAAATATTCAGTATCGTGATTATATAACAGGAAGAGTCGTAATTAGAATAACAGATTATTCCTTGAACGTTCAGGCAGTCCCCTTTTCTTGTTCTCGTTGGTACCAGTATTCTGTCAGCCTCGGACAGTATTCGCGGCTGCGGACCGGGGCGGGTGGGGCTGAAAGCCGTCATCAGAAAGAGACCGTCCGCTTTCAAATGTAGACTTGAAGACATGCAGAAGAAAACCCATAGTCTCCGCGAAGCGAAATTCTGTCTTTGATTTTGTCAGCTGGTGACATTAGCGATTTGCAATCCTGTTCACTTTTGGATTTAAAATGTTGATTCATGCTCGTTCAGCGTCTCAAATTTTTCGGTTGTGTTCGCACCGTTTAGTTTAGACACGCTTACTTAATCCATGCTATGGACTTCTCGTACTCGTCCTTTATCTGGATTGCACATAGAACCTTTTGAAGCAAAGTGCTCACCTCACCGTTTCATCACACTGTGTACAAAACCGTCTTCGGTAACAGATCAACATCACCAAAAACATAATCGCCACAGTAATACTGCCGAGTCTAGTAACTTCGCTCGACAGCGAATTGACTGAGTTCGTGTAATTCCTGATATATTCGTAATTTTTGCTGATCAAATTGCAATCCCAGTTCGAATACATCGTCGTGCTTCGAGTTATCAATGTCCGTTTAAAGTTTATTTTGGGCGTGAGCCATAGGACTTCTCAATTAAGTTTCTGAGGTCACGCATACTCACCAGCAGTCTTAACTCTTGATTTACCTCCGATCTACTAAGTTTGAGGTTGAAACTTCTGAACTAGACATTTCTGTATTGAATCTACTAGGTACTGCTTGGGCAAACCGGGTGCTATCCGAAAAATGTGCTGTATTAACTCCAATAGTGCCTTAGTCAACATTAAGTTTACGTACTTAAGCCATTTTGGCGGCATGAAGGAAACAGCTCATCAGCACATCGTAATAACCTGACCAATAGAAAATTGTACCAAGTGTTGAACTTTGAAGGATTTTTAAAAATTAGGGAGCTGGAGACTGCTTCCCTGATCTAGTTAGTAAATTCAAATCACTGCTATGGGCAGAGGTATGCGTTGATGTTTTGGTTTAGTGACAGCGCATGAATTTTGTGGTTTTAATGGGAGAATGCTGCTGGATAAGCTCAAAAAACTGCCGGATGGGCGACATCGAAGCCTCAGTTATTCTGGAGGATTGGACGTATGCGAGCTCAAATTGTTTTCGCTAACAGGTGTCCATGAATATACAATGTCCTCGTTGCCTTGTGTTGGATGTTTGCTTTACTGTGTCTTTGGAGTTATGTATGATTCTATAATTTTATATCAAATGCCATACGAAGCTCAGACGCGTACTCTGAAGTTTTGTTCCTTATTAAGACAAACTTTGGAGGTCTATGAACTGTACCGGAGGTGGGTGAAGCAGTTATCACGCACAGGAAATGCAAGTGCAGAAGGCCATAGTACTGCTTGAAGTTTTATTTTTCCAAAAATATTTCTCCAAGAGGCAGGCTCTCGTTCGTTTAGTATATAGTGAATACCCACCAGTAGGGCGATTCCATACTCATTTTTGCGGTTTTTACGCTAGGTGTCCAACTTTGTCGTTTTATTCTTTTCCTTCTGCTTCTAGGAAAATTCTCGATGAATTTATTTTTTTGCGTCAACAAACAGTATTCTTATGCTGTTATTTCCTCTTGCCAACCTGATATTTTGTTTTGGGTGCATTTTACTTATGTTCGTCAACACCCCTATTCGTTTCGCGAGCCACATAGTACAATGCAGTATCATCACATCTGTGATTTCTGTTTGATTATGTTTCGCAAATTATTTAAGGGCTTTGCAATGGTTTTTCTTGACCGTTGAAATGTGTTGCTCATTTACCTGACAAATTCCTGCGTATTCTGTTAGTTGCATGAAAACCTGGTGTTTAGGCGCGAGGATACTTCTCAATGTGATGATCGATGCTGTCTTTCCAAAGGTTTGAACCTTATTGGTATGGAGAAACTTCAACGTTGGCAGGCGATAAAATAAGCTATTAAGGATTTGGTTGGTGGCGGCACGTTGGAGCCTGGGCGCGACAGATAATTAATCGTTTTTTTTTATTAGTTGACAGATCGTTTCTGTAGAATATTGCCAGAGTTTAATGGAACGTCAGCGACCGAAACGTTTAGCATATCTGGACTCATGGGGATGTTGGCAACGCTATTATTAAAATTGGCTATAGACCGTTGTGTACAGGTGAGCAATCGGGACCCCAACAAGGGAAATCGCAGACGCTGAGGCAACGGATCACCACTCACATCTCCCATTGACCATCTCGACACCAGGCAGGCTCGGGAGAGCTGACATACCAAACGTGCCATGCCCTGATACGGCAATCCTACTCAGACCGTCTTTGCTAGTGGGGGCGGACGAATTTTCTGGAATGACTTATCTCTAAAATCTAATACGGTCTCTCGTCAAGTTTGGCTAAAATTAGTTTGAGGTCTCGGGCGCCCTTACCCTTGATCTGTTGCGCACTTTTCGTGCAGCGCGCGTTATTCCACGATCCGAATCCCCCGAGCTCGAGTCGACCAGCGGTGAACAACCCTGATGCTGCAATCTCATCGGATGGTTTCTTCGTACTTCAGATTCGTACCGAGGACAAAATGCTTCAAATTCAGATCAAATCTTTGCCTACTGCGGTCACCACCTGCGAAGAATCTAGGTCAGCATGTTTTTCCCCAACACAGGTTTTTTCGACCAGTGACGCATGGAGCGGACATCAGCATTCTAAATGACATGTCTTACACTCTCGACAAAATGTTGAGCCCTCGATGGGACCTTGTCGAAGCTGTTCTCGTTTCCAGCCTTTTCACTAGCCATTGCGGAAGCGTAAAACACGAGGGGAATCAAACATGTTCGGACGAGAATATCACTGATATTAGTGTAGTCTGGGCTGTCTGAGAAAGGTATTATGAGCAGGCGTTTCATCACTGCAAAATTGCCAGACCTCGCTGTTCACGTAACGGGTTTCCATCGTAATGGTAAAGAGTCTGGATTCCTTCTGTTGCATGCATTTCAATCCCGGTCCTGGCGTCCAGATCTCCGTGACAACGGGGTCACATTCTTTGGATTTCGCTCCGGATTCAGCGTCACGAGGACCCAATAGTACAACCCTCAGCGGTACCAATTTCGCATGCGTAAGGTAAATTCTGACATCCTTTTGGTAGAGGTGGGAACAACTTTCAACGTCTGGAAACTTGGCTCTGCGTTGCCGATGGTTTTGCAAACGCACCTCTGATAGGTTGGCGGCATCTAAACCGCACTGCACCGATGTTTGCATGGTTAAACCTATGCAGGGAGGCTCTTTGCACTCCAGCAAACAATGCACACCATCCTTTTCCAAACAGATCTGTCTGCGTAATTATCATCCAACTCACTGTCATGGATGGAGGCGAGTCAGTTTTTGCTGACTTCCTAAAGTACGTGCGAGCAAAAAATTGAAGTCCGTAGTCCTCAACTCAGTATTTGGATGGATATTTATTTCGCAAGACGGTAATAGCAAGAACGATTGCATTTTCTGCAGGGGAAACATTCCTTACCATACAACCCTCAACTTCATTGCCCTAAACTCTACTCACCAGAGTTATTTTTTGATTCTCGAAAAGGCATTTCGTACACATATTCACATTTTCCTATCTTCTCACACGCCGCTTAAGCTGTCGTCTGCCGAATTTCAGTGATTGTGCCCTGAATTCCGTCCCAAATTCGCATATTGTCTTGTTAATTGAGTATTTATTCAAATCATTTCAAGTAGTACACGATTCCTGCTTTTTATTTTCTATCTAATTTTGCACGTTCTTAAAGTTTTTCCTAGTTCTATTCTCCGGATTACTCGCCGGCCTCACTTTGTTATTGGTGGTGGTGGTATATGTACGAAATAAAGAAGAAGAGTCGAAATGCTGTACTCTCCTTGTTCTTGGATCAGGTAAACGGCATATATAAGTATATATACGACCCCCAGGTGGCCACACTGCCGAGCTACTGTCCTTTGCGGAAGGGCTGCCTGCCTCCTATTCTCCCCGTGTCTATGTCATAGCCAAAACGGACCAGATGAGTGAGAAAAAGGCACGCAGTGTTGAGGCGGGGCGAAAGAAAGCAACCGAACAGCCAGTAGACGTACAAATGACGCTTTTGTCGTTTAAGAACTCATTTTTTCAGTTTTTCGTCGAAACCTTGCCTCGCGCGAGAGAAGTGGGTCAGTCGTACGCAACCAGCGTCTTCACGACTCTGATTGCCCTTTTGGCATCCATTCGAGTAGTCCTGAAGCACTGTCCTCAACTGGTACGTATGCGTTGTTTACTGTCGCCATTTCTCCCTGATTATCATTATTTTCTCGTGAAATAGGCACCTTAGAAAACCCTAATGACCTTTTCTATGCTCCATCTTTTGTTTGGGGCGTAACCAAGTATAAACAAATACCTTTTGTGGAAACCAGCAATCTAAAAGTAGGATTTCCTCAAATGCCAATTTTCTGTCATTCTTTAGGAGGTGTTTGCGCTACATCCGGTCGTCCACTTTTCCTTGCTTAGCACACTTAGACCGCTGTATCAGTCCCGTAACTTCCTGCTCGTCTTTTGTCTGCGCCTCGTCTCACTACTAGTTGGTTTGATTCAGTTAATGGGGGCGAGGCCAACCCTACGCAACCTTTCCTATCATACTTGGTTCACTGCTGGACTTTCGCCTCGTTCTGGGAATTACGGCCTTGAAGGTCTTCAACCGGCCTGGTGATTCAACCCACGAGGCTTAGATCCAGGTTTCATCAGCTGTTTGATGCAGCTTCGTGACAGCACTCATCGGAATGACTTGTGACTGAGCGAGGGCTAACGCGTGTTATCTGGGCAAGCGCCAAGCGTGTGACACGGGAGATGGAGATTAGATTGATGTCTGGTCAGCCACTGTGTCCAAAACCACCTCCAGGCTTCTTGACTCAGTCTTTTCTCTGAAACGTGGTGCATGGCAGGAGCGACTGAGGTTGATTCTGCACACACTTTCCTCACAACAATCGAAATGCGGCACAACCTTCACCCTCGTCGAGTTTGGCAGACGAATTATCGGGACATTGAGTTCTTCACCAAGTAACCACATGGCGGCTGTTATCTGGGTATTTCATCGCTGCGGTTTTCGTTCGGAAACATGAACTTGTAGCGACTGTGCGGGTAGGAGCAATCTTTTTTCGACGGCGACCCATCCTGCTTCTTACATGTTTGAGGCTTAGCTATGATTCTTCCGTCTCTATGTGAGCGTTCGGCATCGGGTTCTTTGTCTTCCAGTCTCACATAGACCTCAAAATTTAGTTCTCCCTGTGATTATCGGTTAAAGGAGCACCAAGACAATAACTTCGTCACAACAGCTTCAAGGATCCGTATCGTACTGAACTCATGTCTGTTTAGCGGTCGAGCAATCTTTAACCCAGGGGAGCCAAATCATTTCTGAAGGGATTGTGTATGATGTAGCGTGTTCCCCCGTCTAACCGGGATGCATGTCTGTTTAAATAGTACAACTGGTTTCCGACTTCAGTGCAGCTCTATACTAATACGAACGCCGGGTTAATGGGTTATGATGAGAACATCGTACACTCTGGGAGGTTGGGTATCCTTGATCCTCAAAATGGACGGTTCGAGACGTGTACAACTAGGTAACTCCATATCCCTTTTTACGCATTTGTGTACTTTTTAAAAATCCAATATGTCATAGTATGTGTAATGTCTTGTCTGTTTCTTAATTTTTGATGCCAGTTGTCATAGGTTTTGCGACACCGTTTTTTATCATTTGCTGACTGTCGTTTTGCTTTCTCTCCCTCGACCAACAGGTACTTTGCAATGGTCCGGGCACATGCATACCCATCTGTTTTGTAGCTGGTTTTGTTCAGGTATGCCCCTTGCCTTTCCATACTCACTCATTGCTCATTTTTAGTTGTTCATGCGTAAGCGCACAGCACTGGTGTTTGTAGAAAGCATCTGTCGTACGCGGACACTTTCCCTGTCGGGCCAAATCCTCTACTACAGTCATGTAGCAAGGGTAATCGTACAATGGCCAGAGTTGTTGAAGCTGTACCCACGTGCTGAGTATCTTGGCCTACTATCCTAGTACAGCCAAAGCCCACCACCGATCTTCGGTGTCTACCCACTTTGCGCCCTTAACCCTGCTCGCTGTTGTCAAAAATCCCGCCCGTTTACGTTTTTTGAGCAATTACTATTGTACCACTTCGCGGTGGCGCGGTAACCTCGTCTGCCTTCCTTTTCTATTTGTTACACATGACATCAAGGCAAATATAACCCAGACCTGTGTTTCGTGCCGTAAAAATCGTGAATTTCACTACTGTCGGCCGCTGGGCTCGTGTGCCGGCGCCTGCCATTTGCTGACCGACTAGTGGGTGCGTAGCCGCGGCCGCCTGCCTTGGCGATTCTCCTGAGGTGGCCGGAGGCGCTGGACAGGAAGTCAGTGTGTTGGTTGGAATTTCAGTGTGCCGTGAACACAATAGGTTTGTGAGACATAAACTTAAGCGGGTAGGGACCTCTAAGTTGACGAATTCGTTGCTTTTCCTGGACATTGCATACAGACCGCCCTGTTTTGGCCTTTTGGACTTTGCATTTTTGGTGCTTGCGTGGGTCATTTGACTACCCAAAAAATCACGGCCGATGGGAGGTTTGGCGTTCTCGGGCTGTGTGAATGAACATTTGGTGGATTGTCGATACAAGCGAAAAAACGACCCTTCATGAGGCCGTTGAGAAGAAGATGCTCGAACAAAGGTAGATTACTTCCTGCGTGCCTAGCTATTTGAAACATTTTTTAGGAACAGCAAACCGGTCATATCTTACTTCTAGTCATAATTTATGAAAAGGCAGCTTTGAATGGTACCATTGCGTTTTGACATCGTGATGATTTGCAAGTAAACTACCTCCATATATAAAACCTCCGGGCGCAACGTAAAGGGGGTTCGCGCTCTTTCTCCTGACTACGTTTTTGGAAGAATTAGCCTACAAGCAGTTTGTTTTTGGCTGTTCCGCTATAGCGGCCTTGCAAGTCAAAGCTGGTCCCTGTGGCATGAGTCATACATCTTTACCGGAGGACATTGATGTAGACGGGAACGCAATTTTTTTAGACCGCGCACTACGTTACTTTCCAATTTAGAAGTATAACCAGAATGCGCGCTGAGCACTATGACGTTTTCTGCCACCTGTTTCAGGAAGTGGCATCTGGAAGACTTGTAAAAGCAATGCCTAACTTCATCTGGTGCTCGTTCTTGGTGTTGTGCCGGAGCTGGAGTCAGCGATAAGATCTTTTATGCGTTAAATTGGCACCTCAATTGCACTGCATGCTTATAATCGCCGGCGTGTAGCTTGTATCAAAACACACCTATCAGAAGGTAGATGACGTTGACGAGTGGTATATTCCTTAGCAATGTGTCGCCAGTCATATAGAATATAGTCTACAAAACGACCTGCGCTGGACCAATGAAGGGGGCCACGTTGGCTCACTGCGCTCGTTAATCAGGCTGCCCAGATTCCGCGCCAGCTCATAACCACTGCCGTACAAGAGGGGATGTGGTGCCAAACCTAAGCGTGGGCATCATACCGCGCCAATCATTGCGTCCAATCTCACCACCATATGAGTGACAGACTCGAACAGTAGAATGAGGTATGAAGAAGAGAGGAGAGAGTGAGGTCTGCACTGGAGAATCCATGTACACGGAAAGTCAACGTACTCCTCGCTACAGTAAATAGGACACATTTGGGTCTATCACGACGCGCCAAAAGTCGTGGCATGAAAGATCGCCAATTGGCTGGAGAACTCGGTCCTTCTACGGGCTTAGGATCAGGCTGCAGTGCCTCCGCTTTAATGCGGCCCTTGTGGCACTCTCACGCGTGTGAGACCAGGGCAGCACTCCTTCGCGCCTCGTACATTCCATGAAGATGAGGTCGTGTGCTGCACGCGTAGACGGGCTGTTCAGCCTTGTCAGCCACTGCGCCCTAGCCCACCTACGATCGTCTCGCCATGAGAGTCTGGTGGGTGACCGAAGAGAGAGAGAGAGAGTGCGGTAGATGCCGTGCCCTTGACACCGGACTCAGGAGGGTGAGGGAGGAAGTGTGGTAGATGCTGCGAAAGCCTCTCTCATTGTGAACTCCTTCTCGCACAAGTCTCCGTCTTGTGCGCATTCCGTGGGCATGCAGTAGACTTTGTCGTTCTTGACTACCGAACTGTTATGTGGAACAGAAGACAGGCAAGAGGTTAACATTATTGCGACAATCACTGTGTGTGCACCAATTCTCAACCTTTTGTCTAAGGCGTCGTATCTAAGAGCCTGAGAGATGTTAATCTGGCTCGTTCCCATTGAAGTCTGAGCGCCAGCGTGGGCAGACCTTCAGGGATTGCCAGTGCCTGAACGTCGCGTATGGGCCGGCGGCGTGATAATTGCCTACTCATATGTAGGCCCGGTAAGGAAGACTGTTTCTCGGCGTGGCACTTTCCTCCCGCTCGTGCTATCTGGATAAGAATGGAGTGGCGAGTTCCGGGCATATTTTTTCCAAGCGTTAACTTTAGACTGGCTACCGTCTGCCACTGGTTAAATTTCGTTTGATACCAAGTAACTACATAGATATAAAGGGTTACAGTTTCTCCATTTTCTCGAAACCTCGTTGAAAAACTACATGAAGTGGACGGTTTCGTTTATAAAATGCTGCCTTTTCTTTCGGGCAATGAATGTCCTTGGACTCCTGCTGTTTTTGTTCTTATTACCTTATTATTTATGACAGAAAACTTCGCAACCGAACTGTAGATATCTTGATAAGGCACGTATACGTGTACCTCGCCTGAACTATCTCCCTACAAAGTGTCGTTTTATGCATTAAGTCGAGCATGCGACGCAAATAAGATTTTCTCCTCACCACGTCTTCTCTCCTTAAAAGTCCCTGTCACCGCGAGTCCCGTATTAATGGCGGGTTTGTGCTCTAGTACACATGTCCGTGTCCGACTAATATCTTATTTGCGCTTACAAATCCGTATCTATGGAAATACTTACTTTCAGTATATATGTAGCTTTTCACAGTAAGTTTGGTGTCTTGTATAAGTTGGTTGGTGCTGTTCCTGCAAAAAGTTATAATCGACGGATAATTATGGACCCACTTGCATTATTGGCTATTTTCCCCCATCTTAATTTTTTGTGAAATCAGAGTTCTCAATTTCGTAAGACTTTAAACACTTTCTGTCCTCCAAGGCACTGTGGTAGGCCTTATTTGCCTTTATGCTGTTTTAAAAGAGGTAGGGTGCAAAGCATCTTTAAATGAAAATAGTATGTTAACAAATCTTTGTTTGGAATGGACTTTCTCTTGTCCGACGAGTTGAACAAGCTGCAGAAATCATGATTAATCAGGGTGTTCGCTTCTTATTCTATCTCATTTGCTCGTTTTGAGCAGACGTGTACAAACCGTTCATCATAACTAACGGCCCTAGACTATCAAGTAATGTTTTTTTGCAGACCGCCGACCCGTTAGATGGGCAAGCACACAATCCGACCCGTCTGTGAAAGAGCTATCCGGCTCTGCGTTGAGGGCAGGATCGTTCCCATTGTCATCGCTCCTCTGCAACAGCCGGTTATTTAAGTATCCTGTTGTGAGCTACCGCATGCGTAATATTCTACAGCCCTCTTAAACTTACCACGCGACAGTTACACTGGACCAACACAGAGGCCAGGTCAGGCCACGGCTGTGCAGCCATAACAAATAAGACACATGGGGTGGAGTTGGTCGCACGCCTAGGTGCGGTCTCGCCGCGCCAGCCACCCGCGTCAGATGACTGGCCGCCTCGGCCAGTGGACTAGTGCGTGGGAGAGGGAAGAGAAAGTAAGGTGGACTTGGCACTCCGTCCCCACGACACCCAGCGCACATTTCTCACTTTAAACAATCTGACGCGCTTGAAGCTATCACGGCGCGCTAAAAGCCGTGACTTGGAGGGCTTCTAGCTGACGAGATAAGTCGGACCTCCTCTTAGGACGGAGAGTCAGGCTGCATTGACTCCTCCTAAAAGAGGCCTTATGGCACCCCCACCCTGCGTGGATCCGAACCACCCCTTTCTCGTTTGTGTGAAGTCCTTGTTCATCGCGCGCGGAGCAGGCGTGTGTAGCCCCGTAGACAGGCTGTTTACCCTTGTCAGCCATTGCGCTCAATCCCGCGACTGGTTTTCCTGACGTTGCCCTGTCAGCGGGCGCTGGAAGGTGAGAAAGGAAAGAGTGAGATAGATGCATGGCAGGTCTACTATCGCTATATATTAATTCAGGAACAAGTCGTCGTCCTTGCGACCACCATGCTGCAAGGTAAACGGTGAATATCGTTATTAGCGTCTATCAACCTCCTGCTTAGGATTCCTCAGGACTCGTTTTTTTACCGCGGAAATTGTTTATTAACTGTTTTTTGAGCATGCTATAGCTTTGGGCGAACTTACGCCTTAAATTACTCGTTCTCACACCTATTGCATTTATACCCGACTTGACTACACACTGATGATGGGAGGAGAAAGCCAGTTAGTTGAAAAGGAAAGAGGGAAGTTAGTTTTTAGATATGCTTACCTGCACCCACCTACAAGGGCTACCAGCCCTCCCACATTTCCATCTTCAAATAGGGATCCCGCGGCGTTTAAACTAAGTTCCCACGACTCGATCTATTTGTTTAGCAAATAATTATCTCAAGTTTCTTCTGACTGTTCTGCAACATTGGCTCTCCCTCTGCCGCCGGCATAAAAACATGTCGTATATTTATGGTATAGGCCTGACGACCAACTGGAAAGGAGCTTCTAAGCGCAGTTGTCGACAGAAAGATGTTTCCTAATCAAAAGTCAGGGAGGCAAAGCCAGTAGGACAGTTAATACCCAGTGTGACAGTTCGACCATCGTTTTCGATGATGTCCACCGTGTGCCCCACAGTTACAGCAGCAATGGGAGCAGGGACGGTGACTTACGCAGGGGTTTATAGTGCCGGTAGACTTGCGTAGCATCTACCTACACTCTCTCCTCCCTCGCCCAAGCCCGGTGTCAAGACAGAGTCAAGAAGACTGGAGACGAGAGAGGCCGCAGGTGGATGGCTCGGACGGATCCTCACCATGGCGTTCCACCACACCCCCTGGTCCACACAACAAATAACCAGGATTTCATCCAACACAAGAGAGATTTGGAGGCTGGCACGGCCGAAGCCGCACCTGGGCGTGCCGCCAACGCCTGGCTCGGATCCCACACTGTGATGGGAGTGCCATAAAGGCCACATTGAAAAGGAGCCATTGCAGCCTGACTCTCAGACCGCCTCAGGTCAAGGAGGAGGTCCAAGGTACCCCGTCAGTTGGCAACCTTCCAAGCCACGGCTTTTAGCGCACCGTGATAGCTTCAAGCGCGTCAGATTGTTTATAGTGAGGAGAAAGTGCGCTGAGTCGTCGACCTCACTCTCCCTTCCCACTCCCACACCCCAGCCGCTGTCCGAGCCGGTCAGTAGACTGGAGTGGGGAATGGGCGCGGTGGCTGACATGGTCGACTGACCATGACTGCGCGCGCCACGGCACGACCTGGCCCCCCATGCACACAACACCAGGATTTCACACAACGGGGGTTGAACGGCGTGTCTCTCACTTGCGTGAGAGTGCCGTGGAAGGTGCTGTTTCAGCTCGTCCCCAGCCCACCAGTCCGCCACTCCACACAACACACACACACACAACGCGACGAACTGCGTGAACCGAGAGCGGGCGTCAATCAGCAACCTTCCTGTTCACGACGCTTGACGTGTCGGGATAGTCTCGGACTCAAGTCACCCGTGCAGCCGAAGCCGCATGGGGACCGAGTCGAGATGCGGACTTCCCACTTGCGTGGGAGGTGGCAGTTGGGTGCATGAGGTGTGTGAGTGTTGATTTCTGATGGGGTGATGGTGGTGGTGGAGGAGGTAGGGAGTGAGTGAATGTGTGGTGTGGCCGGCGGTTGTCTACCGCAGGTCGTCGTGGATGCGCATGTGACCGAATAGGCCCATGCGATGCCTGAAAATGCGAGGGCAGTGTGGGCAGTTGAGACGAGCTTGGTGGGTGTAGGTGGGTGCTCCAGGCACTGGTTCGCCAGTCTCTGTGCGATGGATTCGCAAGTGACCGACCAGGCCGATGCGTGAGGTGAATGTGCGTGGACAGTGTGGGCATGAGAAGTCGGCGGAGTCAGTGTCAGCTACAGAGGAGGCGGTGGTGGTGGTGGTGGCGCAGACGGATGGAACGAGGGTGGGGGTGTGCGCGGTGGATGTGGTGGGTGTGTCGGGAGTGCGGTCAAGGCCGCTCTCATGGATGCGCATGTGGCCGAAAAGGCCCATGCGATGCCTGAAGGTGCGAGGACAGTGTGGGCAGTGGAGGCGAGTGCGGTGGGTGTAGGTTGGTGCTTCACGCACTGGTTCTCTAGTCTCTGTGCGATGGATTCGCAAGTGACCGACCAGGCCGATGTGTGAGGTGAAGGTACGGTCGCAGTGAGGGCAGGTGTAGTCGTGATCCTCATCCCTGGAGTCGGGGGAGGTAGTGGTAGTGTCGGTTGTTGTGCGCGGGACAGTCGTCTGAGCGGCCGCCGTTGGAGCAGTGGGCGAGGAGGATGATGATGATGATGATGATGACGACGATGACGACGACGATGATGATGATGATGATGATGATGATGATGATGATGATGATGATGATGATGATGATGATGATGATGATGATGATGATGATGATGATGGAAGTGGTGGGTCAGAAGAATTGTCGGGGTTGGTTGGCGGCGGAGAGGAGGAGGAAGAGGCAGGCGGGGGGACGATGGTTGGTGCCGTTCGAGAGGCGCAGTTAATCCGAAGATGTCCAACAAGTCCGATTCGAGCCCGGAATGTCCGTTGACATCGAGGACACGTTGGAAGCGGTTGTGCGGCGGCGTTGCTTACTGGGCGAAGTTGTGATTTGCGGGTTTCACGTTTCGCTTTGGCGGCAGCGATGCGGTTGGCTTCGTATATCGCAGCGCCTGTCTTCACTGTCCTCCTCCAGGTCAGTCGATCGAGTGCGAGCTCTTCCCAGTTGGTGGGATTGATCTGCAGGCATTTCAGGGAGGACTTCAGGGTATCCTTGTAACGACGAATCTGGCCTCCTTGACGGCGAGAACCCGTCGCGACGTCTCCGTAAAAGAGTCGCTTGGGTAGTCGCTCGTCGTCCATGCGCACCCGGTGGCCGCTCCAGCGCAGCTGAATTTGCCTCAGCATGGCGTAGATGCTGAGGATTCCCGTCCGTTCCAGCACATCAGTGTCGGGGATTCGATCCTGCCACTTAAGCCTCAGGATGCGACGAAGACAACTGAGGTGGAAGTGGTTCAGACGACGTGCCTGCTTTGCGTACACCATCCAAGTCTCCACTCCATTCAGTAGTGTCGGCAGGATGACGGCCTTGTACATCTTCAGCTTCGTGCTCAGTTGAAGACCGTGGCGATTCCAAACTGTGCTTTGGAGGCGACCGAAGGCTTGACTGGCTTTCGAGATCCTGTTGGCGACTTCGTCGTCGATCTTGGTGTTGCGGGAGAGAGTACTGCACAGGTACGGGATGTTCTCCACCACCTGCAGTTGGGTTCGGTTCACGCTGATTTGCGGCGGCGCGTTGGGGGCTGTGGCTGAGTTGGGCGGCGGTTGGTGCATCACCACCGTCTTCTGCGTGTTAATGACCAGCCCAAAGTTCTCGCAGGCGGCGGAGAATAGGTCCATGCTCCGTTGCATCTCCGCTTCGGAGGTGGTGTTCAGGGCGCAGTCGTCGGCGAAGAGGAGTTCGTGCACGGTAGTTGTGGATACGCGCGATTGGAAGTGCATACGCCGTTGATTCAGCAGATGACCGTCCGTCCTGTAGACGATTCGGATCCCGAGGCGTTCGTCGCGGTAGGCGTCCATCAGCATGGCAGAGAACATAAGACTGAAGATGGTAGGCGCCAGTACGCAGCCCTGCTTCACTCCATTGGTCACTGCGAATGCCTCTGAGACAGCTCCGTTGTCCGTGACTCGCGCCATCATACCGTCGTGCAGCTGACGCACCATCTGAGTGAATCGCTCGGGAAAGCCGAATTTCTGCATGATCTTTCACAGTCCTTCACGATTCACCGTGTCGAAGGCTTTCGTCAGGTCCACGAAGGTAGAGTGCAGGTGGGTCCGCATCTCCTGACACTTCTCCTGAAGTTGACGGGCGGCGAAGATCATATACGTGGTCCCATGATGACGACGGAAGCCGCATTGGCTTTCCGGCAGAAGGCCCTGTTCCAGATGGTTATTGATGCGGTTGAGAAGGATGCGGGCGAAGATCTTCCCGGCGATGTTCAGCAGGGAGATGCCGCGGTGATTGTCGCAGACTTGGCGATTCCCTTTGCGCTTGTAGAGATGCACGATGGTTGCGTCTTTGAAATCTTGCGGGACTTCACCTTGACGACACATCTCTTGGAAGAGCGCAGTCAGGTGATCCATCAGTAGGGGACCTCCGTGCTTGTAGACCTCAGCAGGGATTGCGTCCGATCCGGGTGCTTTCCCGCTAGAGAGCTGCTGCACGGTCCTGATGGTCTCCTGGAGAGATGGCGGGAGGTCGAGGTCCACGTTGGTCTCCACTTGCGGCAAGCGGGCGATGGCGGCGTCGGAGATGATGGAAGGGCGGTTGAGGACGCCTCGGAAGTGCTCGGCCCATCGCTGTAGGATTTGCGTCTTCTCAGTCAGGAGAGTGCTGCCGTCGGCGCTGAGGAGAGGAGCAGTGCCCTTCGTCGGCGGACCGTAGACAGCTTTGATCGCGGAGAAGAAGTTCTTCCATTCGTTGCGGTCCGCGTAGCCTTGGATCTCCTCAGCTTTGCGAGCAGTCCAGGCGTCCTGCATCTCGCGCAGTCGTTGCTGAAGCTGTTGGCGACTGCGGTAGAAGGCAGCTTTGTTGTCCTCAGTGGGGTGATCTACGTAGGCTTTGTGGAGGCGGTTCTTCTCAGCTAGCAGATTTCTGATGACAGCGTCGTTGTCGTCGAACCAGTCCTGGTGTTGGCGGGGAGCGCGACCGAGGACGGCGAGCGCCGTCGACTGGACCGTGTCTCGCAGTTGACACCAGCGGTTCTCCACGGAGGCGTTCTCGGCGGCGGCGGCAGCGGCGTCGTCGGCGGCGGCAGCGATAGGAAGGTTGTCTAGCCGTTGAGCTAGCTCATTGCTGAAATGGAGACGGTGAGCGGGCAAAGACAACAAGGCAACACTCAGCTTACCTGGGGGTCGCTTACCTTGTGGTCTCCTGCGAGGCTGTAGGCGAATACGCATCTCCCAGATGACGAGGCGATGGTCGGTCCACCCGTCAGCACCCGCGATCGCCTTCGTCACCAGCACGTCCCGCTGATATCGCCTCCGGACGAGGACATAGTCCAGAAGGTGTCACTGGCGCGACCGAGGATGCCTCCAGGTGGCCTTCTCTCGCTCCGGCAGACAGAAGAAGGTGCTCGTCAGGATGAGGCGGTGTTCTGCGCAGGTGAGGAGAAGCATCAGACCATTGTCGTTTGAGCCGCGGAGACCGTTGGGACCCAGCACTCCTCTCCAGGCAGTATGGTCTGTGCCGACGCGGGCGTTGAAGTCACCAAGGACAATCAACTTGTCCGCCTTCGACACAGTCGCCAAGAGGGCGTGCAGATCCTCGTAGAATTTGTCTCTGACGGCGTCGGGCTTGGTCATCGTCGGAGCGTAGGCGCTGATGATGGTGGCGAACTTGCCTCCTCGCCGGAGAGGCAGGCGGGGGCTCATCAGGCGATCGTTGATGCCCTGCGGCAAACAGGGCAGTCGTCCCACGATGTCGTTACGAATGGCGAAGGCGACACCCGCGTCCCGTCGCTCTGCCCTGGGTCGACCGCTCCAGAAGAAGGTGTAGCCGGCACCCACCTCCTCCAGTTGGCCTTGTTCGGAGAAACGGGTCTCGCTGAGTGCGGCGATGTCCACCTTGTAGCGCGCCAGTTCTCGTGCCACTAGCGCCGTCCTCCGTTCCGGTCGGTTGCTCCTCGGATTTTCTAAAAGGGAACGAACATTCCAGGCTGCCAGAGTGAGCGGGCTCACCCTGCCAGTCTGGTGACAACGAGTGGGGCGACGGGAAGGAGATGGAGAAGAAGGTGACGAAGGAGAAGAATAGGCAGAGGAGGAGGAAGAAGAGGTAGGATGAGGAGAATGAGTAGGGTTGTTGTTGTTATTGGTATTGTTGTTGTTTCGATTTTGATTGTTTCGACCATGATTAGACGTCTGTGGCCCTGGCTAGCCTGGAGACGGCGTGGTACCCAGCAATGTTTAGGCCACCTTTTCTAGGCCCTTCCCCTCGTGGGGGCTGGCAGTGCCATCCCTTAATAGGGCTGCCATGTGCCGTTGTGGCATGGCCGAATTCCACTATGGGACCACGACTTCGGGTTGTAGTGGAGAGCGACTCGAATTCGCCGTAAGCCGCGGTCTCCGACGGCGTAGGTGGGCGCGTCAAGGCAATGTCGATGTGGAGGTCCATCCCGTCACCGGCTGTCCAGCGACGTGCAGAGACGAACCACGTCACGACGGTGCCGACGCAAGGTTCCATCCGACCTTCCATCCTGCGGAATCCGCAAACCCTGTGCACACGGCACAGCTCACAGGGCCCCCTCACCTGGTTTAGCCCGCCGGTCGAGACGGTTGCCCGGGGTGTGGCCGCTGAGCAGAGTCCAGCTACGTGGAGTGTCAGCAAGTGGACGCTAGGCGCAGTCTCACCTGCAAGTAAGTGAGCGACCACCACGACCATTACGTGAACCCACCGCTGACACCCCTACACCCCATTACCGGGGTAGGGAACGTACAAGCAACTCGGAGGTCGACGGGAAAGAAGTTCAACCAAGACGAGTCAGACGCTGATTGTTAGTCACGTTGCGTGGATGCGCTGGCGCTCTGTCCGCCTACAGTCGGTCACCAAATTGTGGAATGTCGATTGGCGTAACGCTGTCGCCATGGAGCTGAATCGCGTGGAGGAGACATTCAGTAAACAATGAGTGCTAGGCAGGAAAAATGCATGAATGAGAGGTCGCACTGGCTACCGCGATAGCTGACTGCCATATATCCGTCTAGATAGTCTTCCAGTTTGAGGTAACCCTATTCAAAGGGTTTTACTGAGGTTTATCTCAGCACACGATTATTTTATCTACAATTTATCTTGAGCCGTTTAGCATTTCCTTATTATACAGCTTTTAGAAATCTCTCGTTTTAGTTGGAAGGGTACATGACACAACAGAAATTCTACGACCAAGCCCTTAGTTAATTAAGTGTATCTTTGCCAAGGACCCCTGATCTCGCCTTTTGGAATTATGTGCACATTATCGAGCTCATATTGCTTATCGTGCTCGATTTTAAGATTGTCCTCACAAACCCGTAGGGAGTAAAAGCGAATAACCATTACCTGCCGAACTGTCTGACCGTTACTCAACATTCGACTCATGTAGGACACCATGCCTATCTCAACGACCAAAGTGAGTGATCTCTTGTTCGCATTCTTGTGACATTATTGGATTCAAATCATCACCTTTGTTGGGGTAGTTAAAGCCGGTGTGGCTAGGTCATCGCTTACTTTAATTTCAATTAAATTGCATTTGTTGTGATTTAAGGCTGACTCGAGAGTTCCTTATGGTCGACAACACAAGGTTCCCAAATATAAGTCAGGGAAGACGGATGGGGTTGGACAACTTTACTGGCGTGTAAATGTTTACGAGAGGCTCCGCAAGCAGGTCCCTCAAACGGTCTTTCCGGACAAGTTCAGTTGTCATGTGTCTGCCGTTGAGGTTACTGGTCCAAGCGCGTGTGTGCGTTTTTCGATCCTTCTCAGTGTCTGCTGGCAAATAAGAGATGTAACAGCGTTGATTTTCTTCGAGTTCTCCCGGCGCTAGTAGCAAACCTCGCGCGGCTCCACCAGCGAATTGACAAGGAATGTGGGGCGAATAAAAAGGCGGCGGAGAGCAAGGAAGACCGGACTGCCATATATTCACCAAAATATGCATCGCGGAGCAGAATGTAAAACTTCTCACTTCCTGTACATTTACGTCCCGAATCACATTTTCACTTGTATGTCGACGGTCCGACCGTCGTGTTCAACGGCACTTACCGCGTGGGCTGGACTGGATGATGACACGCCTTATTTGGGTCACGCAGAGTCGCGCATTCCATGACAGGAGCCACACTTGGGGATGGGGAAGCACTCATTTGCTCACGCTTCTCGCCACGTCAACCGCTGCAGCCAATCCCAGCACCAGATAACTGACCAGCGGGAACTGTAGACTGGTACAGTGGAGAGTGAAGAAGAAAATAGGTCGACTCCGGAAAATCCATTTCGCGGAGCTTCAGTGCATTCTCCACTACAACAGATTTGGCGCGCCTAGACCTTTTATTACACGCTTAAGGTCGTGACTTGCATAAATTTAAGTTGTCTTGATAGCTCGGTCCTTGTGGTGAGTACTGAATGTATATGCTGGGTGACTGGCTCAACGTTTCTTTCCTAGTAGGACGTCTATGGCAGTTTTACGAACATGAGGTCCAAGTCGTTCTCCTCATTTTGTAAAATCTTGACGTACTGTGCTGGATCAGGTCATATGTAGCAGTTTAGCTTTTTCGGCCATTGTGCCCAATTTAATCACCAATCCTCATGCCATTGTCCTGCCATCGTAGCCTGTTTGAGGAGGGAGGAGAGGATTAAGTAGATTCAGCGAAAGCCTACCTTCCTATAAACTTATTCTTTCGAAAGTCACCGATTCTGAGCCTATTCAGTGAGGCGCGCCTTGGACGTTGTCGTTCTCGACGGTCGAATTCTTTATCAGTCTCAGCTTTGAATACTAGGCTGCATCAGAAATGTGGCGTATATATAGGATTAAAATTTGACCACAGACTATTCAGAAATAATAACATGGAGTATAGTGTATGCGAATGTGTTTAGATATTTGTTTACATGTGAAGTAATTTCAGATCTTGTTTGCCAGAATGTTAATACACCTAGCAGATGACTAGAGGCGATTAAGGCCAATTATGCTCCATCACAAAAAGAATTTTTACCTCTAACATGTGTTTGACTTCGTTATTATGAATATGACAGACAGTCAACTTCACAGTCTTAAAATTTCGACTTGCCAGTTTGTGGTTGCTGATTTAATAGAATAAACTGGCTTCCCTCGCAGAGGCGATGTGTTTCTTTAAAAAAATATTCTATGCGAAATTTGGACGAGTATGCAATTTAGACGCCGCCATTACCGTAAGCGATAGTGCAGTGGGCGCTCTCAAATGTAAATAAGTCCTCTGTCACTGGCACACCTTTTAACGGCCGAGGACGTTGGGGGTAACACATGCGCAGTTGTGTGTGCCCCTAGAGATAACTCCTGGCCTAGAACCTTAAGGTTGTTAGACACTTCATCACTCGCAAGCAATAAGAATTAAGAAGGCACAAGATATATATTAGGAGCAGAAATTTAGAATGTCAGAAAACTATAAATGATGCAAAACAGATGATAACTATACTAGGGGGATGATCCTTCTGTGGAGGGCGTTTTCATCAACGTGCCCGTCGAGCAACCGGAGGGGAATGCAACGTTGTAGGTAGCTGCAGAGTATGGCCGTAGGATAGGCCGACATAGAAGGTGGGCGGAAAGAGAATTTTGACGAGTGTCGTGAGAAAGGGCTCTGCGGTTTCGTTGAAAAAGGACAACGCCTATTTTCACCGACACGCGGTTACGCCATCCTCAGCCTGCATTCGCGCCAGAAGTGTTAACTTCGTTCTAACAACCCAGTCCAATTCATACGGGTCAATAATCCTCAACATCTGAATTAAGACGCTAACTACCTTGGGATGGGTAGATTATGGATATTCAGGCCGCAGACGACCAATCGTAAGCACTTACGAATTAAGTGGTTTGACATTGACCATTTCTCAATTATGGCACACTAGGAAACTCAGTTGGCTGCGTCCACATTACATTAGAGTCGCAGGCATTAAAGGTAGTTCGGGTAAATGACTCTAGAGGACATGTGTGCGCACAATTGCAGGAGCGAAATAGCCAACGCATGTGTGACTGATCGGGGGGCGAACCGCACCTTTCCCAACTCTTTGGGGGACATTTCTGCAAACAGAGGCAGGAAATGAACCTGAAATAGGTTACGTAGGCACATTTCACGCTTCCCGGCCTACTATCCGAAAGCCGGATTTGTGTTTAACGCTTCCCTTGACAATGCCTGTAAACTGGCATTAAATAAATTATCATTATCACTATCAATATGCCTTTTCTATCTATCCCCCTCTCTCTCCCTCAAACAACAGCCCATAACTGGCAGGGAGAGATAAAGTTATACACACTAGATCTGAATCCCCGTACGAGAATTGTATAAGCAGCTGTCTCCCTTGGGACTGTCCGATCAAGGAAATGAACTTACATAGTAGGCCCAATAAAATTATGGGAATATATTTTGCGCAAATAGTTTTCTATAAGGTATTATTGAAATTTTCTCACACAATGGTTTTTTCACATGCCAACTGGCTAAGAAACTGTACGGGAAACAGGTCGAAACAGCGCATTCTACTCTTTAGGAAATGGGATCGAATGCTATCCTACGTATCCAGTTCCGTAAAAACTTAGAAATATAGGTTTCTATTCGGAATGGCCAGAATAATTTCGTTTCATAGGGCCCAGCTAATTGCTGCGACTATGCGCGCTGAAAAAGCGCCCTGATTTAATGTTAAAGCCTTTAAAATCCAAAGGAAGAAGAAGTGATATATATGTTAACTCCTTAAGAGTATATTCATGTTCGCATATGTAAGCATTATCAGTGAATTCACATCAACTGGTGTAAATCGACTTCTATTGTTCCCCGTTTGACCGTTTCTAACTTATGCCAGGTTATCTTGGCTTTTCGATCACTGTTAAGGCGTTTATTCGCTATTTACACTCAATTGGTTTGCGGGTGTACTTTTCAAGCGGTATTTTATCATTTGCGAAGTTTCCTACCTTTGCACATAATTATGCCTTCGGTCGGTTCACGTGATTTTCAACACCCCCTCCATATCCGCCTATCTGCATCCCCTTCATATCGACTTTGCTTGCATTTACGCCTTGCTTTACATGCAGCTGTTCCCGCAACCCCCCCCCTCCCAGCTTGAATTCAGTATCCTCGTCAGAATGTGCGAAAAATGTCATGCTACTGAGGAGTTATGGGGTCTACAAACCATGATTGAGATCCTAAATTATACCACCTACGATGCATCTGACCGATCTAGGCTACAACAAAACATTCAGAAATGCGACACGGGCATAAAGATATCCAGTTGTCGTCACATTGCTTGTGTACATTGATTCTTACTTTACGCACGTTTTCGTACTTGTAGATAAGTTGGTGTGCAGTCCGCACGGAAAACGGAAAACATTCATTTTGCTCGCCCTTTTGTTTCATGCCCGCTTTGGAAGTAATTCCAATACAATGCCCCACCCCTGCTCTTCAATAATATCTTAGTGAACCTGAATATTTGACGAAATTAGCTGCCTGGTTTTCATTTCATTGTCGAAATGTATCACTGCGACGAATTGATCGGTATTCCTCTCGTGTTTTAATTATTAATAAAACTGAAGCCCGTTTAAAAAGTTAGGCGAGATTGTGCGACAGTGATCGGTTTTCGCTCCTTTTTTTCTCCCATATCATTATGTGACCAGAACAATATGACGGATTGACCTCTTGCCAGTGTTTATATGCTTTCTGCTTAATTTTCAAGTGGATCAAACTTGCCTATGATGTCAAGCACCCTCTGCATTAGTCCGATTCAGCCAAAGTGTCGAGAAGAGCGTTCGCCATTTGTATACAATTTCAAAGCTCCCTCGGATTCACCTAATGTCGACACTTTCGACACTCTTGCCACTGCTCTTAGCGAGTCGAAATGTTCAACACTTTCTCGAGCGGATATTTCTAATATCCTGGACACCCTTGATCTCGACCCTCCTTTGGTCGATTATCTGGTTGCACATGGAGCCATCTCAGCAGACACGGGAAAGGACCTTCTACGCTGGGACTGTCTTTCAGAGGGATCGACGTCAAAAATAGAGACATTGTTAGACTGTCTTGAAATATTTGACCATTCTGGGCAAAAATTCGTAAACGATAATCACGTTGTCTCGCAGAATCCGAAGCTGACTTTGCTCATCAATGCCCTAAGAAGTACGGGACAACACGCGTTGGCGAGTCGTCTGGATAGCGGACCTCGAATTTTACCATCACGTTTTACCACCTCCCCTGGAACGAAGGATGGGGAATATGACCCTTTAGAGAAAGTTGGTACGCTCAAAGTTTTCACCCCTAACTATTCATTTTCCGCAAACTACAGAACGTAACAATATGTTCATTTACTGAGAGAGTCTTTTGTGCCTAATGTAAATATATCCGGGAATGTCGTTAACGTAAACGATATTATTTGAGAAGTAAGCGATTGTCAAGTCGTAGCGTCGTGAATGACAATTTCTGTGACGCTATGACTAGTTTTCCAAAAGCACTTTAAAAGATCTTCGAGTATTTTTTAAGAAGACAATTTTATTCATCAAATACACCCCAAAGTACGTCTTGTCAAGCCCTCTTCCTCTCTGCAACTTAATTACATGAACGGCAGCAGTGTGTAGCCAGAAGTTAACTATCCACAGCACTCGGCGCCACAATTATAGTATCTGAAGTCAAGCCATGTATCCACATTTTCGACGCTTGGTTTCTGTCTGTCATTTCATTACTATCTACAATAATGGGAACCCTTTTATGTTCATTTTCTATCCGAATCAAACCCCCGAACCTCCACATGCAACTCTCTTCACCACAAATTTTGTCACGAGCTATTTCAGTTCAGTTTATTGAGCGAAATATGCGTAAACCTCCAAGTACCCTATTTGGAACGTAAAAGTGTGTTTTGTACAGAAACCTTTTTTGGGCTGGAATACTTCAAACGTACCCATAATGATAGGACAGAATTGGATAACATGTACGGTAAAGAATTGCTTTGAGCGTATGCCAGTGACCTGGTGCTAAGTGAGCATGCTAAGCCCTAGAATGAAGGACTCACACTATATGTTGTAATGTAAGAATTTCCATTGGGAAAGCTATGCCTGGACGCGCGAGCGTTCCTTACTGCGACTTGAACGTTGCCTGACTGTCTTAGCTTCGCCTACCAGGTCATGGCTCACGCAGCGCCAAGTTTTCACGGCGGCGTCACTGACAGCTTAAGTCTATATGGTATCGCCATCGTCTAGAGTGGTGAGGACGAATTTTCAAATTGGGGACTGGTGGTACCACTTATGAGTCTTAGTGGAGCCCTTGTTGTCGCCACTGTTCTTGTTTCCGATACTCCAACGCTGGATTCCTATAATGGACAAAAATATCTTATTTACTTTCCTCAATCCCTTTTTGACTTGTCCGCTTGCTTGCCTTTTTTGGCGTTGCAAGGGATTTTGATTCCAGAAAGGAAATTTTGAAGGATCTGCGAGGCAAGCCTTTAGCCCTTTTACTACAAAGACTCATTGCGCTACTAACAAGGGAGTCTTTAATTTAGCCCCACAAAACAGTTTTACTATTAACCAAAATTACTCCGGACAGACTAACTGCTATTCGCGCAGTCCTCGAATGATGGTCACTTTTGAGATCAAGTTCATTTCATATTTGCCCGAACACGCTGGGTTGACGAAATACGCAACAAATTAGTAGACAGGGCTCTTCTGCATCCTATTGCAGATCAACCAACTGTTGCATTAAGCCGTAGTTCGCGCTTTACGGGTCCTGGCTATGATGATTACGCACCCTCGCTGGTTCTGTGGATGTGGATACAGCCGAGGTAGGCTTGAAATTAAATTCCTTCAAAAACAGGAGCTCACCTTCACGGTAGATTGTGAAGCTCTGGGGCCAGTGAACAGCTTCCGCTACCCCGGATGCAACATTCTGCCAAATGGCCATCGCAAGTATCGTGCGCACGAACCTAAACTGACATAAGCTAAACTTCCACAATCGGCACGAAATCAGTATGAAAACCAAGCTGTGAGTATTCGAGGCCTACGTCAAGACGATCCCGTGTGAATGTAGGACCCGACCCGCACATTCTGAAGGCATGCACCTCCTGGATACATTTAGTCGACGGTGCCTGCGCCCCATTCTTATTCGTCTCTTTGATTGCGTCTCCGTCCAACAACTATGCAGTCCGTCAGGGACAGGAACTGTTGACTGAGGCCTTGCTACCCGCTAATAGGGGATAGTTGGGCTATGTATGCGCTGCGCCGAGAGACGCCATCTAGTCGAAACCTGGCTCTAGTTGGCAATGACGTTAGGTGGCGAACTGAAGACATGAATGGACGCGGCTAATGCAGTCTGCGGGGCCGACGGGTAAATTGAAACGACTCCTTGGAGTCAGCCGATGGCCGACTACTATGAAGGTTGATTCTCGCTGATGTGGACTTGCAACACGGAGCAGGCCGATCCAGTTGTGCATGATTCCGTTGCAATTAGAAGGCGAGAATACGCAGACAGCAGGATTCGGACGAACGCGTTATTAAAATTACGTAAACTGGCTTAGGTTATTTGACGCGTGATGTCGCTATTTAGTTACAACTAGGGATCACAACGTTTGATCGGTCTGTGTGATCGTGCACAGAATTGATCTCGCCATTAATTTACATAGTCCGCAAGTAAAAATCCAGTTTATAAATTTGGAGATAGCGTTGCCTGCTGGACTGCGTACATTCACATGCCCGGGCGTGCGTCCCTGACATTGCACACTATTTACTGTGCTGATATTGTTGTATTTGGGGAGCCCGGTCACCTGTGTCTAACACATGATGGGTGAAATACCGCACGGACAGACAGCATTCTGGTTAAGAAACTACGGACGACCTCCCTTCTTGGCTGTACTTAAATGCGTGGAATGAGGGCAGACAGCGAGTACATACCTGGGGTCGCGCCTATGTCTTCGGCTGAAGGCGCTCACAGGATCTACTCCGCTCCGTACAAACTTTGATCCACGAAAGCAGCCAGCTGCCCTCCCCAGGACGTTACTGACCACTGCCGCGCTGAAAAATCATGTTGCTTAGTATCCTCGTCGGAATAAGGAATAGATCCTATCCAGGGATGTCATTGCGGAGTCTTCATTTACTTTCGTACATAGGTCACATCAAGCGTAGACTAAAGGACTGGGCATCGGCTATTTACTCGTTTGGTTTACGGCAATGAATTGCATGCCATAACCGCCGGTACCCATGCCTAATGCAGCTGTGTCGTTAGAAGATGGGGTTAGAGTCCACCGAAACATATCGGCAGAGCACAAGGTCGGAATTTGAACGGGCCTCAGCACTGACGACGCTAGTAAACCTTACCATCCCGTTTGGAATTTATTGCGTCGAAATTCTGTGGACGATGACCCCATAAAAATGAAGACACATCCTTCTTACTTGACTGGATAACCAGTTTCGCGAGTTCCTCGGTTCATCTTTTTGTGTATCTGACATGACTTCTATCAAAGCTTCCTATAATGTCCCTACCACTCTGTCACAAAAATGCAGGCTGTGGTTCATTGCCTTCAAAATTACAGTCCTGGGTAAAGACATAATGCCATTTGTGGCCAACAAAGGTTATTTCGATTTTATTCTTGCTCAGAACAGGGTATTTTAGCGAGTGTGGCACACGCATCCGTCCCAAAAGACTAAGACAGTGTTGTTCTTACTTCAAAAATCGGTGCGATACGGAATTTCGCAATTACAAGCGAACCAGTTTCGTCGGCGTTACCGCGAAGTTCTTCGAAAGTACCCCCCTGAACCCCTTTTGATCCTCCAGAGACACACGGGTAAAGAAAAATTGGAGTGACTTTTGCCTTGTGCGAGCCTATGACGAATCATAGGATATGGACATCGGTTCTGACAGGGGACACTTGTACCTTTCCTTGATTTCGTTTCCTGCAAGGCTTAAAGACCGATAGCATGCCCTCCGAACTGTAACTTTATTAAGGCGTACTATCGAGTTACACAAACAGAATTTCTAGCTTGCGGTGAAGAGAACGAGAAATGTAGTGCCCATGTTGGTGCTCAACAAGGTTGCGTCCTCCCACCATTTTTGGGTTATTTGATTGTGTCTAGGTTGAACGAGATTCCCCGCTGGATTTTTATCATACGGACGACTTCATTCTGCCTGAAGGCTTATGCGAGGAAACACTGTTAAACCCTCACCACTTATCGCTAGGACGAGTCTCGTTCGTCTGGCGTCTCGGATTCATACTTCAATCCATTACTAGAGACTGAATCCGATACGAGTAATGGTTGCACAAGTACCACAATATTTGCATAATCCAGCTGCAATTCGTGCCTCCCTAATTCATCCCAACCTACTTCGTATTAAAATGTTTGAAGTGTATAGGTGGGAAATAATGTGATCCACTCGTAGACTTATGGAACGATTTTGTCTTTTTTATCTGCACAAATACGTGTGATCACTTCACTGCTTTAATTTCTCGCACTGCCATTTCTTCTCGTTTTGACCTAACCTTACCGTAGAAAACTCGGCGACCTCGGTTCCATGACTACTAGGCTCACGTATAAATTATCTATTACATGAACTTGGTGGTCATCTGGTGAACTCTAGGTGGACTACTTAGGACATTCTGCTTGGACAGTCAGCTCAGTATATCAGATTTGGTTGATTATATACGTTGCAGTAGGCTGAGCGGTTAAAAGGGGCAGGCTTCAGTACAGCCAACGCTCTAACCACTTGTGCGAGCCTATGACGAGTCATAGGACATGGACATCGGTTCTGACAGGGGACACTTGTACCACCACTGCTTGAGGATTATCCTTCGAGTGAAGTTAACCGACTTCGTCTCAAATGAGACAGTCCGCGCTCGCTGCGACAACATCGCCAGGATAACTCAGGCCATCCAAGAAAGACGACTGAGGTGGTTCGAGCATGTTCTTCGTCGTCCAACTCAGGAGCTCAGTGTTACTGCCCTCGATCCGGCGCCGTTGCCCCATTGGAGGCGTCGAAGAGGGGGTCAGTTCAAAACCTGGCTCGACACTGTCCGTCAAGACATGGAGGTGGTTCTTGGACCTTCGGTATTCGGTCTCCGTCGTTGGCGAAGGGAATGGGTTGAACTGTCTAGATCTGCTGCCGCGGATCGTCACACGTGGAGAGGTACAATTCGGGACATCATCGAGGCCGGCTAGATCAGGCATGCTCGCAGCCGTATCAAGTACAAGTAAGTAAGTAAGCTGAGCGGTTAACTTGGCCCAAATGTGATTAAACTCACGGCTCCCGGCGGGGCCTCGTAGCTCAGGTGGTTAGTGCGTCGACTTTACTAAAGCCTTCTCCTTGCTGTCGTTGGTTCGAATCTCACCGAGGTCGCCGAGTCTTTCACAGTTGAGTCAAAACGAATTACTAAAAATCTGTCAGAATACCTTTTAGCTACCAGTTCTCTCAATACTAGGTTTATTGCCCGCTCCTCCCGACATTGGGTCTTTCGGATCGAAAACTTAAACTGGCTCGGGTGTCTGACTTGGAGGTAACGCCATAGCCTTCCTTCAGTTGTTGACTACGTTTTCTAACCATTAAACCATCCCCCTCCTTTATAACTGTCTCTGGGTCATTTCCCGAGTAAGCTATATTTCTCATGACGGTAATTATGTGTGTTTTGTAATCTTGTGTATGGTTGCTCATCATCGTCCTTCTGGCCCCTGTTGAGTTGTTGTTGGTCAAAAAGACCTTGTCATTTGCTGTGTGGACCAGGGGGGTGTGGAGTAGAACGCCAGGGCGCGGGCTCGATCGTGCCATTCACCCGCGCCCTCCTCCACCTCCGGTCTTCTTGATTCTGTCTGGACACCAGGTCCAGGTGGGGCGTAGGGAAGAGAGAGTGCGGTAGATGTTGCGCAAGTCTACCGTCACTACAAAATAATTCACGCGCAACTCACCGCGCCTGCTGCCCCTTGCTGTGTAGCACACGGTGGACATAGTCGGAAACGACGGTCGAACTGTCGTGTGGTTGCTCAGACTAGTAGTTGCTCTTCCCTGTCTTTATTGAGATATCCATGCTCGTATGATACCCGACAACTCCTAGGCTGAGTACGTCTGGGTGATGGAAATCAATTACTTGACTTGCGAGGACGACAAACACAACCGAAATTTTAGGCCTGTTTAACTGAGCCTACTAACTTTCAGTTATATCTTTTACACAGGGTTGCGCCTGTCAGCTCATTTCAATGCCTGATTGTTTTCGCATCACGTGGAGTACAGGCACAATTACCTTAGACCCATCCTTCTGAAAGATAATGCATGCGATGTTTCGTACTGAAGTTGGCATTCTAAAATCAACCCGAACGCCTTCTGTTACACTGCCTAATTTACTTTGGTGCTCAGGAATAATGAGTTCACCTGGCCAGTGTCCTCATTAAATTCGCATCTCATTAAAGAATGGGCTGCATAAAGGACAGGACTCTTATTTTGCCTACGTTAAGTACCTGGGTTGAGCCGCGGGAATTATACAATAATTCAACTCTGCCGCTGGTATGAGGAAGGGTTTTCAATAGTGTTGCCTTCATGCTTCCCGAGTCTTGAGATTAATAAAAAAGCAAAGATGACGAGAAAATCAATTTATCGGGTGTTCAAACTAATCCTGTCGCACCTGTCGTATCACTTTACTTTGCATATAGTGAGCTTAGCCTGCGCTTGTTTTCCATTTACTGCCCATCGCAACCGCACAACTCTGCTGTCAGACATGTCCAGCACATTCAAGACCCCCAGTTCTTAATTTATTTAAACCGTAAGTAACCACTGTGGTTGCATCTTTGGCGTTCTGACCGACCCAACGTTTATTACCGTCGCCACTAAGTGTCGAGGCCTCTTATAAAACCGCAGACAGTATCCGGAGCATTGCTATATAAGCACTGGTGAATAAGTACACCTCGATGAGTGAGAAGCAGCTTGCC